TGGTCAGCCCATAAATGCTGGAGCTCTTCTCAGTTCCACTCTTGGCCCCTTCTCTGCTTTCTCCACATTCTCTGCCCTCTATGGGGACTCATCCCTTCAGATAACTTTTAGGAATACATCTTGGGTAATAGCTCCCCAGTCTAGCTCTCTTCCAAGTTTTGGATACATTTCTAACTTCTTACTAAATATCTTAATGGGAAGCTCGGGCAAAAGAAATGAATGTCTCTGTGTGTGTGTGTGTGTGTGTGTGTGTGTGTGTGTGTATGACAGCATGTGAATATGTATGAGTGTGTTCTGTGAGTGTGTACATGTATTTGAGTCTCTGTATACATGAGGGGAAAAGCGTGTGTTTTAACAAACAAATTTATAATGAAGAAAATCCAATCCATGTGGTCTGGGAGAGAGACTAGGTTAAAATAAGAACAGGATTTAATGTATCAGTAAAACCCATGTGACGTACGTGTGCTGTTAACCAGGAACCCCTGACAACAGTCACGCTTCTGCTTAGAGACCATGGTTCACTCTCTGTGACCAGCAAGATTGAGTCTGACCCTTAATCTTGGGGTCCAAGCCTCAGCTCCCACCACAGACTGACCTCTGGGCCTTCCACACTGGCAGCCACACCTGTACCCTGTATAGAAACTGGCTCCCACAACTTTGTGCCATGGCACACCTTGCATTGTGTCCTAACACTTTGCTTCCTCTTCCACCAAACACATGATCTCTCCTTGTTCAGCTCAGAATCAGCCCTGCTTGGGACCTCTGCCAGTTTCTGGTCAGAGAATATGTAAGGTGAGCAATTAAATCTGAATTTCAGGTAAATGACAAATACTTTTTAAGTGTATGTCCCAAAAATCTTATCTATCATTTGTCTGATATTCAGAGTGAACTGGGTGTTCTGCATTATTATTTGCTTTGTCTTATACCTCTATACTCCTCATGCCTCAATGTCCCCAAGTCACATAGAACACAAATATCTTACATGGTGGTGATTTACTATTTTGCCAGTATTTGCTACTTCCCTCCTGTCTTCCCTACCAGACTATGTATCCCTTAAGCAATGGTTCCGTCCCTCGGAATTTCTTAATCATGCATTGTTTGTCAAGCACTATGCCATATGGGTTCCAGTCACAGGACAAAGAGGCCCAGGACCCTGCCTGAGGGCAGACATTAGCAAAGTGTGGCCTAGGCCAGTCAGCACCCTCCTGCTTTGTCTGGACTATGGACATCCACTTCCTTCTTCAATATGAATTTGTGTTTGTATCCACACTGCAACAGTAGAATCTGTGGTCTCTTGGCTCACAAACTTAATATATTTTCGATTCGGCTCTTCATGGAAAAATTTGCTGACCTCTGGTCTCGAGAATCTTACCATCCAGAGAAGGAAGACAGACATAAACAAATAAAAGTACATCCATCTTTCATCTCTGAAGCCTCATATATATCAATGTGTGGTCTGGCACCCACCCATATGAGAACCACCTGGAATCTCTGCCAGTGGATTCTGATTTCTGAGCCTTGAGAATCTGCCTTTTAAACAAGCTTGCCAGGCATTTCTTCACACTGAAGTCTGAGCACTGCTCACTTCAGAGCTGGCCACCCTGTCTGGTACATGGTCAACCTTGATAAATACCTGAATGGATGAATACATGAATGAATGGAAAGTGTTTGCTATATATCAATTCTTTTTTTTTTTTTTAAACTGCTGGCATCATTACACCAAGTCGTATCTCATCTTGTAACCCTGTAAGTGGACTTTGCAAAATTTACTACCAATCCAGGCACAGTGCTGCTAGGTTTCCTCTGGAGAAGGCACACTCACAGCTTTCTCCTCCACTGTTCTGCAAATCCCCTAACTGGTCCTGAGGCGGAAGATGAGCGGCCACCTTCTTCCTTGCTGTACTGAGCAGACTCACCCTGCAATCCACATGCGGCCTTCTCCCTCAGATCCTTGGCCCGTGGCTGTCCTGGACTGCATCACTCACAGTCACGTAATCAAAATAAGCTAACTGGTTCCTTCATGTCCCCAAGCTCAGAAAATGTTCTGTCTCCTTGCAGTGCAATGTGACAGCCCGACAGAAAATAAATAAAAGTGAATTCAACCCATTAGTATTTGGAGAGCAAATGTTTCCTAGTGAAAATAAAGTCTGTGACCGAGTGTTGAGACAGATGTTCACACTTGCTACTCTTGTTAGAGTACTTAAGAAAATAAATTGAAGATAAGGGAAGCATGGGCATTGTGGGGGTTCGTGCTCTTTGTTCTTCAGGGTGCAATGGGAATGAAATGCAGAAATTCCACCTCAACTTGCATGGGAGAGTTAAATAGTTGGGGCAAATGGGGTTTTAAAAAATTGGATTTTCTGTATAGTTACCTTAATGACCCTGTCTATTTCATGTATAAAGACCCCAGGATTTCATGCGGTTGTGCTAGCAAGAGTAGCAGCAGTATTTGGACTGCAGGGAGCTCAGGCAGTTTGCACTTGTCTGTCTTGTCTGGGTTTAGGTGTGGATGCTGAAAGAGTTTACAGTCAACCCATGTTGTCCTGTGACAGATGTCAACTTTCCTAGCTCAAGCTTTTCATTTGATATTATGATGGTATTGGCTAATGGCATGTTTCCTCAGGTGGTTGTTAAGACAGATTTATAAATGAAACGACGTTGTATTAGAGATTCAGCTTTGGAATATTTCGGTAAATGAGAGCTGCTTTCTTTCTCCCAAGGTTTGGAGAGGAAAAAAACCCTTCAAATGCCATCATACTTATTAAGAAAAGATCTGAATCTTAAAAAATTCCCATAATCTAGGTACTTCTGTGTTTTATAATTTCTTCAACTCATATATTTCATATTTCTTAAATTTATGAAATCCCAAATAGTTTACACTACACTTTACCATGCACAGTCTTATTTGAGATGAAAACTCTTTTACATCTTGTTATTATATTTTCATATTCAAGTGTTCAACACTTTTTTCCTTTGCAATGATTTCATGTTTCTATTTTTGTGCTTCTGTTATTTATAGAAACACACCAGAGAGGGAAACCTGAATTAAAAATTGTCTTCTCACATTCTTTTAAGAAAGGACCCTTCGAATTAGTTGCTGGTTGTACCAGCATGGGACTTAAAGGCAGGTTAAATGCGTAAGTAGGCAAACCCTTAACAGAGGCCAGATAAGTTTCACACGCAAATCTGAGGTTACCAAGAAAAAAGTAGATACTTATGGAATCATGCCGAGAAGGGACCAGGTGTTGTTATACATCTAGGACACAAAATAAATATAAAAAAGCAGCCCCCTTCCCATTCAGCTGTTCTGTATTAATAAACTTCCACCCACCATAAATTCCTGGGAAGGCTCTCCAGATGCTTGAGAGCCACCCACCTTGTGGTCCAGGTCATTCCTGCTGGAGTTGCAATTTAGCTAATTTCACTACTACAGTAGCTAGATATACTTAAACACTCAGTAGGGTGTGTCTTTCAATGCTATTAAGTCATTAAGGGTTTTTAGAAGACCAGGAATTTTCCTTCACTGCAGTAAAGAGGGCTCCATAGCTATTCTCTTAACACAAAGAGACTGGGGAACTGCTTTTTAAAAAGTGCCAGTGGAAAGCACCTCATGGTGAAATGTGATTCTCTGACATCAATTATGGAAATCAATAAAAAGCATGGCCACATGCGCAGCGCTCTCTGCCCTTTGTGATGGAAGCAAGGACCATGGTGAAGTCCACAAAACTCTGCTTGCTAATCAAAGCAATAAATTTTCTCTGTCAGAATTGCATTTTCAAAGATGTTCTAAAAATTTTGGGGAGGCGGTGCTGAAATCTGTTTCTGAGCCCAATTTACTTAATTCCCAAGAACAATAAAGGCTCAACAAAGGATTTTACCTGCCTAGCTGGTTTAGAATAACACATAGATACTGCTCCACAAATCTTTCAACAGCTCAGTTGTGTGAGTACACTATGAAGCAATCGGAGGAAAGCAAAGGCTGGAAGAGACTATGAACAAGCAAGTTGCTGAAAAACAAAACAAAACAAAACAAAACAAAACAAAACTTGGAATAGCACCTTCATATGTTTACTCATGCGTTGCACGCATCAGAAACCCTGTGGGTGGATCTGCTTTCCTGAAGCGAGGCCTCTTTTAAGGTCCATTTTGGTTCAAAATCTACTGTGATGAGGATGCTTTCTACCCACGTGAGCTGGCCTCACCTCACCCTGGGAACTTCCCCAGCACCTCATGGGGTTCTTCTGGGGTTCTTCTGAGCCTCTCGACTATCCCTCTGGGAGCGCCAGGGAAGGTGTGTGTGAAGATCTTCCACGTACTCCAAGTTTATTTAAGTTTGGTTTTACCATTGAAGTGCTATAGCAGTGACAATTGGATTCGAAGACAAGGCTCATAAATCAAATGACAGCCTTTAAACTCCTCACTCCCTCTGTTCCTGTATGTCCCCATCACATTCCTGGCCCTCTACAAATGCCAAAGAGGGTTTTGAATTCCTCTCACGGAGCTCTTTGGGGTACTCCCAAGTTGACACTAATACCTTACAGTGAGGTATTAATGGAGGGTGACAAGTGAGGTGGTGGGCAGGAGTTAGAACCGTATGGGTCGGGTGTGGGTTATACCTAACAGTCACTCAAATCACTCATTTGCCCAGGTCTGGATTGTCTCAGGCATGTTGAGGGATCCCAGGAAATGAAGAAAAGATCCAAATGAATCACAAAACCTTGATAGAAGTCTTCAAGAGAAAGAAGGTCATGGGTGTTTAAGGTGAAGGATGTATATTATTATTATTTTTTTCTTTTTTTTTTGGTTTTTCTCTGGTACCGGGAACTGAACTCACAACCTTGCGCTTGCCAGGCAGGCACTTTTGCCACTGAGCTAAATCCCCAGCCCCTGAAGGATGTATACTATGACTTGGTCCAAATGATTTAAGGTCACTACCAGCAGAGAAATATTTGAAGGGCCCAGGCAGCCAGGTGAATTATATGTTCTTCTTTTTTTTCCAGGGTGCGAGAGGTGCGTACCATGAATTATATCCAGTTGATCAGTGACTGCTTGCTGTAGTAATCTAGGTACGTATTGGAGTGAAAACCCAACTGGACCCTGGACTGATTTCTTTTTTCCAGTGTTTATTAGTACATATTTGCAGTGCACGATTCCATTCCTTGTGTGGAGTTGGTACATGTAGATAACACACCTCAGTTCCTTTCCATCCCCTTCTTCTCCCTGTCTTCTCTTGCTCTCCATCTCTTGATCCCCTTCCCATTGAAAAAAAGATCCATTCCCTACTTCTTACTATCTATCTTTCATTTTGCTTTTTATTTGCGCAATATTTGAACCTGTGCATAGGATTTATTTTACTTAACATTATGGTCTCGAGGTGAATCCATTTTCCTAAAAATTACTCCAGTGTATCCTTCTTTATGGTAGCATAGTACTCCACTGTACATAAATGCCACATTTTTTTCATCCATTCATCTGTGGGTGGACATATAGGCCCCTTCCAAGATTTAGCTATTATGAATTGTGCTGCTATAAACATGGGTATGCATGTATCCCTGAATGGGCTTTGATAGAAAAAGAAAATTTCACTCCATAGGTGCTTAACCTTAAGACTAAATATACCCCATGAATATGCCTGTTTGGGGCTGTTATAAAAAGCAGTGGACTGATTTAATGGAAACCTTGATTTCTGATTTGCTCCAATTAGCATGCTTGGTTTCTTGAGGTCCTTTGGGGACTAGAGGATTCTAGTGACCAGAGGCAATGGAAAGTTCCTGTTTTGAGCTGGAAGTAAGCCAGATGTTGAGCATGCAGCTGAGTGTCAGTGTTCATTCTTGTTCAGATGAGAATGGTTCCTTGCAGATGTGTGGACTAATCAAAGCCAACTGGTTGTCTCATCCTAAATCAACCTGGTCCTCTTGCTTAATCCCCACCCCCCAACTGAAACTGATTTGACTCTTAAACAAGTTGAAATATAACTCTACTTAAGGATTTATTCATCTTTTACTGAGTGCCTACTATGTTTCAGGTGCCATGTTAGACCTTAGGGCTACACATAAAACAACCTCTCCCTTAACAAGGCTACATGCATGATCTGGCCTTAACCAACCTGTCCAACCAAATTTTATCCCATGCTAAACCTTTTGTGCTGCCATCACACTGGTATTGAGGCCTTTTACACACACTGCCCTTCTGCGTGGATATCCTTGTTCCTCCCACACTACTCACATTCAGTATTTTAGGGTACAAATGACATACCCCACTATTCTCTCTAGAGCAAATTCCTTCTTCAGTGATCCAAGAATAGTAATAGTAACTTACATCTGAATGCTAATCAAAAGTGTTTTCTTTGTAGCCCTTATCACAATTTGAAATTGTTTTATACTTGTTTACCCCATACAGTAGAGTATGCTCGTTAAGTACATACAGTAAGAGTATGCTCCAGGGTGAGACCTCCTAAGTTCAAATCTTGACTGGATCTCCCTGGCTCTGTATGTTAACTTCAGTGTCTTCATTTCTTAATCTGTAAAGTGCAGTTGATAATAACAATAATTTCCTCCTCATGTAAAGATAATTAAACCTACTAGTTTCTCTCTTTCAGTTTAACAAAGCATTAATATGAGTAGAGAGAATATATTAGTGCCCAGAAACTATCTCAAAAATGTATTCTCAAAGCATTTTTATTAAAACAATTACATATCATTATTTAAGAGAAGAAATTTACAACTATAAAATACGAGAAGGATATTTCGTTTGCCTGGGAAATAAGTAAAAGTAGTCCAGGATTTGAGAAGTGACAATTATGTTCTGGTTCACCTGAGGTCTACATGGCCTATGAGCACATGTGCAAACCATCTGAATTCAGATGATCCAACTTAATTGCTGAAAAGCTGGCCAGTTCTAGGATTTAATGATTTACTAGTTTGGAATAATGAGAGGAGACTGGATATGTAACATTTCTACAACACAGCAGGTGTTACCAACAGTGATGAACCATATTTTATCTCACTCTTATTATTGAAAACCGTACCAGGTAGTTTTTCTTTTTCAAAAGCAAAGCATTATAAAAGACATGCAAAAAGTTGTTGCAAAAGGTAATCGTTTTACATAGGAAAGCGTATAATGACTCACCGTATGTGAACTCTAAAGAAGTTGTTCTTACAGAAGTGAGAGAAAAATAATCTTTACCAGAGGCTGGGGAGGGTGGGTGGATGGCATATGAAGAAATTGGTCACAAAGAACAAAGTCAAGGTCCTGAGTTCGATTCCAGGTACAAAAAAAAGTACAAAGTTAGACAGGAACAGTATCTTGTGATTATCTATTGTACAGTAAGGTGACTATGATGAATAAAATTGTACTAAATATTTCAAAAATTCTAGAAGAGAGGACTTTTGAATGTTCTCACTACAAGTAAATGATAAATGTCTGTAGTGGTGGATATGCCAAATATCCCAACTTGATTATTATGCAATGTATGCATGTATCAAAATATCAAACTGAGGGCCAGGGATGTAGCTCAGCAGCACAAGTGCCTGCCTGGCAAGTGCAAGGTCCTGAGTTCTATTCCCAATACCCTCCCCAAAAGATCTGTGTCAAAATACCAAACATATGCCATAAACCTGTACAAGTATTATATGCCAAGTAAAAACATTTAAAATAGACTATATATGCTTACAATATTTTTAAAAGGCAACTCTTGTGAAAAGAGGTCGTTAAGTCAAGAATAAGTATCAATTGATGTGGTTAGCATGTGACTGGTCTTGGAAATTTCTAGTAGTCTCACAAGCAATGTGACTCCTATGTGATACACGGACCATCATGGTGTCAGATAAGGAGTCCAGAGTTCTGCCTGCCATTAGCTTTCTGAGAGCCCACTTAGTGGGCAGGTGGTGTTCTGTTGAACTGAGTGCATATATGCACCTTGTAAAGATTCTGAATATTCAGGATTTGCACCCAATAAAGTTCATGGAACGTGAATGTTCTGCTAAAGAGAAATCCATTTTTTTTATTTTAAAGAGAAAAGAATAAAAACAGAATAACAAAAACAAAGACATAAAACAACATAAAGACAGTAAAAGTAATAGAATTTCAAAACAAGGTGATAGGAAATTAACAGCAGTTGTTGTATTATATATTGTTGTCTTCAAAGTGGTTACTCAGATAAGCAGATATAGGCATGTAAGATTGATTGAACAATTAAACATTAACTATTTCTTTCAATAAACCTATAGAAATTAGTAGTACAATTATCTTAACTAT